CTATTGAAAAAAAAATGATCAGTATATTTTATTTGTCATTTCATTGGCGGGTAATGATATCTTCGCTAAAAGTTTGGTTATACTTATTAACTTACTGCCTGATAGATATTCATGACAAACTCAAAAACTTCTAATGACTTAAGAAATTTCATGTATACTAGTTTTAATAGATACTTCTTAGTCTTTATTTTGTAGATTTTAATTAGAAAATTACGAATTGAGTCAAACTAACTGTACTGCAAATCTTTCTATGAAATGTTTTTTTTTTTCATCGAAAAATTTTCCTCTGCTTTTCCACAAGATTGATTTAAAAAATGAGTTGCATAAAAATGCTGTTTTTTTTTAATTTAGTCATCTACTATTTTGTCTTTTATTATCGTTTTACCATATAAGAAATTTATTTTCCATTGTTGAAATAACTTTTTTGATGAAATTCATTTTTTCAGTCAACCTTGATGGGAGCTAGAAGCAATTTTTTTCGATGAATTTTGATTAACTAAACATTTCATTTTATTCAGAATTCGATGTTAATTTCAACTATTTGAATACTTATGAAAAAAAGCAGTGGTAAATAGTTAATGGTTTAAACATATTGTAAAATTTGAATACTCTGTAACACAGTATTTATAGAAAATGGATGGCAATATTAAATCAAACTACACTCAAAATGAGTAACGACTGATGCAAAAGTCTTGGCACAAATGTCGAGGCCCGTAGTATTTCAACAGAAGGTGCTAGAGATCTAATTCTTTCACCATTAGATAGACCAAAATGTGCGCTTTCAAACCCACTTTTTTCAAAAAGTTTTTGATGAAGTTAAAGTTTTCAAATTTCAAATTTTCAAAAACCACTAAAAACGGTTTGTAACTTTTGATCCTTTTTCGCGCTTTTTTTTAATTTAAAACAACAGTATTCTTGTCGAATTAATAGATAATGAGCTGAAACTTCTAGGGAATCAAGTCTGAAGTGTAGGGTTTTTCAAAATCTCATTCCGAAATTTGTGCGTATCCATGGTAATCCGCAACCAGGGTTTTAAGCGAAAGCACGGCAGTGTTGGGTTTTTGGTGCGCAATTTAGGTATTTTTAGGAAGACAAAAATTTTTAATTAGTCCAAAAGATGCTGTTTTTCAAGACCTTTCAGAATCCATATGAAAAACTGGGAATAGGCGTTTTCATCTCCTGAAAATCAGCTAAACACTACTAATGAACAAAATAGCGCTTTGGCGCCAATTTCGTCATAATTAAATCCACTTATAACTCAGCCAGACTATGTTTGATTGAACCAAGCTTTTTTTTTGAATCGTAGCTACTGAGCTACTAAATTTTTGTAGCACAGCGAAAAACTGTGAAACTTACATAAAGGTGTGTTATCGTAACATTTCCTAATTTCGCATGGTTACAAGTCGTTTTTAGTGGTTTTTTAAAAATTAAAATTTGAAAACCTTAACTTCATCAAAAGCTTTTTTCAAAAAGTGAGTTTGAAAGCAGACACTTTGGTCTATCTAATGGTGAAAGAATTAGATCTCTAGCACTTTCTGTTGAAATACTACAGGTCTCGACATTTGTGCCAAGACTTTTGCATCAGTCGTTATAAAACTTGTTGAGTTCTATCTGAAGACGCCGTTTTTATTGAGAAAATTAGCAATAAGAGCGACGAAATACACTATAAGCGATTTTTGTTAATCTTTTACACAAATTTTACCTTGTCCAGAGTACTCAATGCTGCTCAGAAATAAATACCCTTTCGTTCTAAATGCTATCGATTGTTCTCTTGACAATAATAGACTCAGCTTTATTCATTTTTAAGTTCGAACTCTACTCATGTATGAATGACTGATAGCTGACCGTGCTCAATTAAATCTATGTTAGTCGTACAAAACTTTGTGAACTACCAGTTGCAAATAAAATATTATTTTGTTTTATTATCCTGCCTCTGAAAAGTATGACGTACAAAATCATTACGTTTGGAAAAATCCAATTTTCCTTAAAAGTTTTTCCTACGTACTGTAAGCCGAAGTACATCCTTGAAAGACGTGTTATGTGATATGTACGAATATTACAAACGAAAAATGCTCGTATAACCAAATGAGAAGTACAAAATTAATTCTAAATGATATAAATTCTTCTTAAGAATCTCTAGATAATGGTAAGGGAAAGAATTCTTGTTTTAGGACTTGATCGAATCTGTATAAAAATGATTTTTAAGAGGAAGTGTTTGAAATTTAATGTTACTAAAAATTTTATCAAAGATGCAGTTTATACCGTAGAATTTAACATGGAGTTTTCAGATTTTTTTCCTTATATGATCAGAGAAATATTTGCTAATTACTTTTTAATAAATAGTCAGCCGAAAGAGTCAACTTTTTTGCAGATGTTTATGCTGAAAGAACTCATTTAGAAAAATAAGCCTGATGAAGAATCAAAGTCAAATGGTAGGTCGATATGTTCCATTTTGCCTAAAATGGCTTATATATTCATGAAAATATTATCTAGTGAGTCAAATATATTTTACAAATTTTTCAATAGCTTAACAGATAAGTAGAAATCTTGTCATATTAGAAGTTTAACAAAATATTTATCATCGATAAAATGTCTTCATTGATTATAACTGATTTATGAACTGAAAAAGTCTTTTTTAAAAAATTTGTATCTGAAGTACATATGCTGTTAAAGATGATTTTAAATATCTTTATTAGTCAAATAAAAGAAAAAAATAATAATCTTTTACAGAAGAAAAGTACGAATTTTCAAATCGTTCTATTTTCGCTTTTAATCCAATGATCATTGGATTAATCAAATAATTACTCTGCATGAAGTGTAATACGTCTACCCAAGCAGACAAAAATTTTGAAAAACGCGTTTAAACGCACAGTCAGGAACCATGACTGTGATTCATTCATGCTCATTAAAAAAACGCATGAAACGACGTTTTTTGTGCAAAATAGTCACTTTTGGAATGTGAAAATGATGAAAAATTGAAGAACTGAGCGTTTAAACGCATTATTTCTAAACTCCAGAGAAAAAGAACGTTTTAATACAAAAAAACTGAAATTTTTCAACGTTTCCACATTCCAAAAGTAACTATTTTGCGCAAAAAACGTCGTTTCGTGCGTGTGAACGGGTCACAGTCGCGGTTCTCGATTGTGCGTTTAAACGCGTTTTTCGAAATTTTTTGTCTTCTTAAGTAGTCGTTCTATCTTCCTTTAAATAATATGCAATATATTTCATTAATACAATATGAACGTATGAAAATTTAATTTGCAGATGATAATTTGAAATTCACATATTTTTTTTTAATTATGTTTTACCATTACAAATTATATGATATGAAAAGTTCCTACTACCTCTTCGAGAAGTCAAACTTTTTATTTTTCTAAGAGCAAATAGAAAATGGAGTTTTTTTTTTTTTTTTATAATTAATCATTCTCATATGTTGTTATTAATAATTTTCAATCATGTCTATTAGTTAAAACATGCGGCAAATATTTATCATTATCTAGAGTAATGTTCAGTTGCAAAACAAAAACTGTTCTCTATGTTCTCTTGAATACGTATTGATTAATTCATTTATCGAATATTAAGGCTCCGCGCCTTAAAAAAACCAAATTTTCATCAGAAAAATTGAAATATGAGATACTCTGAGGCCTGATCTTCCATAAACGACATGATTTTTTTACTTGACACCTTGTTTTTCGCCAAAATTTTGTACGATTTCCATCGTCTTCTGTTTGGAAAATATGCTTTTTTTTTCAGAAAGAAGTAGGAATATTTTCCACTACTTTGAAAGAGCAAGTGAAGCTACAGGGTCTATTTTTCTAATAATGTTTTTTTATTATTATTTAAAAAAGCATTCCTATAAATAGACTTGAATTTGTCATCTTTTTTTTTTCTTCACATAAACAGTAAGATTTAAAAAAACAGGATGCTATAGTTTAACATAGTTTTTGAAATAAAAAAAGAAAAACAATTTAATCTATAAAATGACGATGCACAGAGAATTTTAGATTATAAAATAAGCTACTTTTGATCCTCGTTTGTTGAATATCTTTCATCATCTTGAATCCGACAGGCTCTAGTTATCTGAGAAAAGTATAGAATGCGCTAGTCATCGAGTCTTCGAATCGACTATTCAATGCCAATTAGAAAATTTCATTGAGATTATCACAGTATGATTCGACTGCATAGACTCTACTCCTCCCTACAGCTCCAACATATCCTAAAAATTTCAGACAATTTGAATGTACATGATCCAAGATCGATTTTTGAGGAAGCTTAATTCGTTTCTTTGCGTACATTCTATTTATACTATGTTCATCATTGATATGCATCTTTTTCTTATGTAATTAATTTTTATTTGTTTCTTTCAGGAAGTTCATCGATGCATTACCCTATGATACACAATTTTTTTCTATTGTAATCGACTATTATTTGTATGCTTCGATAAATTTTCAAGTACTTCTATTGATTTTATCGTAACATAGACATATGATCAATTAGAACTTTTTCAATCGATATGCTATTATTATCATTGATGCGTCCCTTGCGATTTTATTTCAAAAGAATATATATATACAAAAAAAAAAAAAAAAAAAAGAATTTGCTTGATTGATTTTGTTCCTGTATTTGATTACCATGAACACAGTATTTTATTTAGAAAAAAAAAAATAAGAACAATGGGTATGAAGCAAGAAGAAAACAAGAGAACACACACGCACACGAAAAAAAAAAACGTACAACAACGTTATATGAACATAAAACAATAGAAGAGGAAGGTGAAGAGATAATCTGATTTATTTCAGTCTTATATTATGGGTAATATATGGCTATTGTTTCGATTTTTTTATTTTATTTTATTTTATTTGTCCGACTGTGTAATATTTGAGCGAGTTATAGTAGGAAAAACAAAAACAAATTAAGAAAAAATTGATCATAGAAGACTAGATAATGAATATATTGTCGATTGAAATAAATTAATTAAATGAAACCATTATATGATTTTATTATTGAAAAGCAGTTGCTGTTTCCATTGGACGATCATGATATGAATTTAAATTTGTTGAAGATGATAAACTTTAAATAATAAATAAAATATATATATATATTTTTTTTTTGTTGCTTTTTGTAAAATTTCTACTCACTGTATATCAGTATGACCATTAGTTGTTGAATTTTCTTGATGATCATCATCAGAAAGATCAATTAGAGTTGTCGATTCTGCAGGTGTTATAGATTCATCAATCATACTTTCAGTCATTATTTGTGATGATGTCATACTTGTTTGTGATAAATTATCTGTTGATCGTGTATTTCGTGCTTTATTCAGAAGACTTTGTATCAATGGTGATTTAAATCTATATAGATATACGAAATTTTAATTGATTAACTGTCTGTATGTGTGTTTTTGTTTTTGTTTTATGAATTAATTACTTTGGTATATCAGTAGTAGATGATGTAGTTGATGATATAATTGAATCATTATTAATTAGAAAATGTTCATTAGATGATGAAGTAGGAAAACGAGTATCCGACATGGAATGAGGTATTGAAGATTTAATCATACTTGTTGGAGATGAAATATTATTTGTTTGATTATATCCATTTGTTTGTTCATTAGTAATTTTATTAGAATTATTTTCCTGCTAGAGATAAAGATAGAATATTCTTTAAAATTTCAATTAAATATTGTAAAGTTAAATTACATAATCAAGATTCGTTCCTACTGATAGAACGTATGAGTAGGAGGAAGCTGCAAGTCCGCGTTTTTGTGGACCAAGACCCGCAGCTCCCTATAGATGAGTAGGGATTATTTGTGATCTGTATCATTATTTTCAGCGGATAAATTTTCTCTAGAAAATCTTCGTGTTTGTTTTTCTATTTATTAATCTGAAGTTTGTTTGAAAGATAGATGGCGCTACGAGTTTTTTCTGATTTTTTTTAAATGCTTTTCTCAGAAAAGGATACTAGTTTACTTGAAGTATACGAAAGATATGATTTGTAAACATAGCACAACGCGAGGGTGTGAAGACACTATGTCTAACGTAAACTAGTACCTAAATTTCTAATTGTTATATCATATGAATCCATTGAAATGATAGAAAATTATGATAACATTCTTCATATTTTAAATATGATTTCATGTTAATACTCATTTAATCAAATAAACAGAGAACATTCTTGATCAAACAAGTACGCTTGTAAGTTATCATATATTGGCGTATTATGTAGTTCATAAGGGAATGCTTTCAACTGATTAATTGCTTTCTTACTAGGTTATTGATCATATTCTTTATGAATATGACCATGAAAAATTCCCATAGGTCTTCATATACTAGTTTTATGGACTAACAAAATTTTTTTTTTTTTTTAACATATCGATTTGCTTGAAAAACAGAAACTTTTAATATTTGAAATTGTGCTAACGATATTATTCTTACAGAACTAAATAGTCTGAAAGTTTTTATTATTTAAACTTCGCTGGCATGAGAACTTCTCCCTAGTGTTTAAATCGTTTTTACGACCGATATGATGTTCATTTGATGAGTACTAGAAAAGTCCAGATATGAACAAATCAACTTTTCACAAACAAAAATTTCAATGAGATTAGTTCATTGTACAAGTTGTAATTTTTATCTGAAGATATTCGAAATTCTCTTATGTGTATAAAAATAAATTTTATTTTCATCTCCACAAAATGAAATATTAGAAAAGTTAGAAATTGTACAATGAATTAATCATATTGAAAACTTTGTTCATGGAAAGTTGCTTTTCCATATGACCTGAAGCGAATCACCTCATAAAATTTTGATATCTCAAGAATGAAGGTTTGGAAAACTAAACTATTCTAGTTTTTTCTATTAGAACATCGTCTCGATCGAAAAAAACACACGATTTGACACTTGGCATAATTTCCTCATCAGTTCAATACATAAAAAGTTTGAGTAAGATAACAAATAGACTTCTACGATGTCTTATTTCTAAATTGACTAAAGGACATACTGATCATTGTGCATAAATGCTCGATTTCTTTTTCATTCCAACTCATCAGATAGACATTTTTGACAGTGAAAAATATTAATTTCTTATTAATTATAAAAACTCAATGATTACTTTTGAAGTTGGTGAAATTGGTCGTGTACGTCTCATAATTAAATCTAAACGTTTTTTTCTTTCATTTCTTTCTTGTTCTTCTTTTTGTACTCGTTCTTGACGTTCACGATTAAGACGTTCAGTTTCTTCTGCTTGTTTTCTTTCGAATTCTTCACGTTGTTGTTGTAAACGTTGTTCTTCTTGTCGTTTTAATTCATTTTCACGTTGACGTTCTTCAATAGCACGTTGTAAACGTTCTTGTTCAATACGATGTTGTTCTTCAACAAGACGTATTTGTTCTTGTTCACGTTCTTGTTCTTCTAATTCTAATTGATGTTTACGTTCTTCTTCACGTTGTCGTTCAATTTCTAAACGTTGTTGTGCTTCACGAATTTTTTGATTTAATTTACGTTGATATTCTTGTTCATCAATTAATTGTTGTTTTGAATTTAATTTTTCATCATTAATAATTAATTCTTCATTCACCGGTAGATTTTCTTCTTCTTCATTATTATTATTATTATTTATTATTGATTGATTTTCATTTGTTATTGTTGTTGTTGTTGTTGTTTTAGATGATCTTGTTGGTGATGTTACAACAATACGACGTTTATTTGTTATTGGTATTGCTGAAGATGAAATTGAAGATGATGAATTTGATGTTGTCATTAAAGAACGTTGTTGTGTAGATGGTTTTGAACGAGAAAATGAAGATGTCATTGGTGGTTTTGTTGAAGAAGATGTAACTTTTGAATGTATTGTAGGACGATGTATTGATTGTTTATTCGATGATTCATCTGTTGGTGATGTTCGAGATTCATTATTTGATGTTGGAACAGTTGCAGGACGAGTATGAATATGCTGAAGAACAAACAAAAAAAGGAAATATATTTTCATGGGAATTCATTTTTTGTTATTTTGAATTTTATTTACCCTTCGATTATTGGAAGATATTGAAGAAACAGCTGAATTTGTTAGACGAAGTTGATGACTGGATCTTGATATTGGTAAATTATTTGATGATGATGATGATGTTGCACTAATATGTACTGATTGTGTCATTGCAAGAGTTTTTGGTTTAGATAGTCGATGAATAGTTTCATTTAAATGTTGTCGATTAGTATTTAATATTCGATGTTGAGATTCATTATTATTAATTTCATCTCGAGCTAATAAAATAAAAATATACATATTTTTGAATTTATATTATTCATTAGATTAATCAAACAACAGTAATATGCAGACAAAAGGTAAAACAAACATGCACATATATATGTTAGATTAAAAGCTAATAAGGAACATAACTCGGGTAAGGATTGGATACCTCTAGAAGCTCGAGGACATCGTTCAACACTATAACTATAATGTGATCGACATTTTGCTGCGTATGTCGAACGCATAAAATTTGCACTGTTATTATTATTATTATTATTATTATTATCACCGGTATGTAACCAATATGCATATGATGTTGTCATCGGTCGTGTTTGACTACGTGCCGATGAATGATGTGTACCTGATAATAAACTCTCATCATTTGACTGATCATCATGATGTGGTTGTTCGTCAATCGGATTAAGTTGATGAGAACTGATGACAACTATAAGTGTAGAGAAAGAGCTTTTTCTATTAGACAAGCATATCCCATTAAAAAAAAAAAAGTAAATTAGTAATATATTTCTTTCCAAAAACAAAACAAAAAAGAAAACAAATTATAAATTGAAAACTTACTAGTTGAATTATCATCAGGAGAATCATTCGATGCTTGTTGATTTGTCATATCTAATTAAATCAAAAATATTTTCAAATTATATTTTATTATATAATCTATGTAATTCAAATTAGATAAAAACCGCTGGTATAGAGAAAATCAACCGACGGTAGTTTGATACTCTATCAGTCCACTATCAAGTGGTAGTGCAAAAACAAAAACAATGTGTAGTATGAGAAATAATTACCTTGATGATTTGAACGTAATCGTGATGCTGAAATAGCTCGTCGAGTTGAAATTATATCTGTAGACATACTCATTACAGAATCAGGTTTATGTGGTACATTGATTCTACGAATAGAAAAAAAGAAGAGAATATTTATAGATGATGTTTATAAATAATATAATGATTAGTTTACTTTAGATTATGATTGACTCTTTGTTGATAATTTTGTTCGCGTTCTTTTTCACGACGTAATATTTCATCAATTTTAGCCTTTGAAATAAGATGAAATTTTCAAAAAAAAAAAGGATTTTAATTAAGAAATATATATATATACTTTAGCTTCTTCTTCACGTTTTTTTCGTCTTTCTTCAACTTGTGATCGATGATCACTATCACGATTGCGTAATTGTAACCATTTTTTTACTCTTTCTACTTGTTGTTGTTGCCTAGAAATAATCAACTTAATAATATGTATATATATATATATATATATATATCACTAAATTAGAATCTATCTGTTATTTACATATGTCAATCTAAAGGAATATCCAGTTTTTTTTTCTTCTATAATGTGAATCATCTATTAAAAAGTAGAGACAGAAAAACTGTGGTTTGTTTTCTAGCTAATATTGTATACAAATAGGAAAGTATTTTCTTTCATATTATCGTCACTTTCTTTCTTTTCGTTCTATGACCAAACACTATACACGAGATTTGTAAGCAGAAATAACGAGGAATATGTTTTGGTGTGTTGCCATTAAAGATTAAGCAAAAAATATCAAGCTTGTACTAATGTAGATAACAAGCAAATTATAGAACTGATGAAAACGCCTGTAGGTACATAGAACAGATTGTATACACCAAGAATTAATACTAATGACTGAATACAAACAAGAATAGAAAAAAAAAACAAAATACATGAAAATGTATATTTGTTATTATTGATGTATAGAAAACATAATCGATCAGTCTTTTTGTTTTTTGTTAGGTTAGTCAAAAAAAAAAAACTCAATATTATCTAATAATAAAGATTAATGTTATTTATATTAATAATTATTTACCATTTTTGTTCTTTTTTTCGTAGTTGTTCTTGAAATTTTTGTAAACGTAATACTTCAGCTTCTTCTTTTTTTTGTTTAACTAATTTAATATGTTCATCAAGTAGAAGTGAACGAACACCTAGAAATAATTTTTATAATAATAATTTTCTTTTTATCTATTATAAACTTGCCATTAGTTGTTGATTTTATTGTTGATATTTTACTAGTCATTTTCGAATTAGTTGTAGTTGTTGATGAAGGTCGTTCATTTTTATTATTTTTATTATCATTTTGTTCACCATTGGCCAATGAATCTTGAAACATACGTTCTATAACAAGAAATATTTCGAAACTTAATCATTTATTTATAGTGCCATTTTATTTGTGATACTAATCACGTTTACATACACACACACACACACACACACACACACATATATATATATGTAAAGAGAATTCTCAAGACACCATCTATTCATTCTGAACGAAGAGAAAAAAAAACGAAGGTGTGCAAAAAAAAAAAAAAAGGAGAAAAAGGCAATCAAACTCTCTCTCTCGTTCTCGTTTTTAACAACTGCCGCCATCATGATGTCGATCATATTTAGCTGTATATGCTGTTTCTTCTTCATCATAATCGATACTATAAATTGACTTGCCACCACCATCATATATACTTTGTGTTGTACGACAATTATTTCCTGTTTCATCCATGTAATATTCACTTGATTGATAATCAGGCATGGATGATGAAGGTCGATTATGATGATGATGACGATGACGACGATGATGACGACGATTGCCTATTGTTGGTGATGGTGGTGTATTTGATATTGATCTTGTTTGATGACGTGAATCATTTGATGAACAAAATAAAAGTTTTGCAGCTTCACAACAAAATAAAAAAGCAACATTTGTATTCGTTCTTAAACGTTGAATACAACCAGGTTTTTTAACTTTAAAACAATAAATAATAAGAATAAAAATTGTTAAACAAATAATAACAAGAAGAATAATAAGAAGTTTATTTGATGATGATGTATGATGAAATTTTTCATCAAAATTTATAATTGAAGCTTGTGTTACAGTAACAAATGTTCGATTATTTATTGATATTAATTGTTTTGATGGTGATTGAGATTCCATATCAGCAAGAGATAAGATACGTAGCCATTCTTCATCATCATCCGATAATGTTGTGATTGTTTTTGTTGTAGTAGTTGTTGTTATTTCAGTAGTTGATGTAGAATTTTTTTTAATTTTTGTTCTTTTAATTTTTAATGTTGTTATTGCAGTTGTAGTTGTTAAAATTTCTTCTTCTTCCTGTTCTTGTTCTTGTTCTTGTTCTTGTTCTTCTCCTACTTCATCTTCTTGATTAGTTATTTCTTCTTCATTATTTAGAATATTTGTATTATCTTCACTATCAATATAATCATCATGAACTTTTTGAGTTACTGGTCGATGTCTCATAAGATCAAATCGACTTAATTTTGCTCCATTTTGTACTTCAATTGTTGTTTTTTTACGTTCTTTTGTAATTGGTATTGTTGTACTTATTACTGTTGTACTTATTGTTGTTGTTGTTGTTGTTTCACGTCTTTTCCAATTACAAATAATTTGTACATTATGATCTTTTTTTATAGGACTTGCTTTTAATTCAAGATAAAAAAATAATTCCGAAAAACGATCATTTTTAATATATGTTAATGTAAAATTATGTGAACCAGAACCAAATAAAGCTGTATTACTTGTTGATGGTAATATATCCATACATTTTCTTTCAAAACGATCTGTTGCTATTTCTAAATATGATGTTTTTTTACAATCAATATTTGATAATTTTGGATATATTAATGATTTTAAACTTCCATATTGTCGATTTATTTCACGTGCATGTAATAAAACTTGTCCATTTAATATTGATGAACGTATTTTACAATGACATCGATTATATTGTCGATCTTTTGAATATGTATGACTTATATGAATTATTGGTCCTTCATCTTTCCATTTATCACATATATCTTTTGAATTTGGTATACAACCAAAATTAACTTGTATATAATTAAAATCTGGACAATTTGATACACCATTTGTTCTTATTGCTGATGATAACATTTCATTTTTTGTTAAATTTATTAAACATGTTTGTTTATTATTACATGAAAGTATATTATGACTTGTACCTTCTTGTATACAATCATATATACTAAATTGACATTCTTGTAATAATGGTTGTTTTGTATAACCATATATAATACGAATTATTTGTATATGTTCATATTGTGAACAACGAAGATTTAATTGTACTATATTAGATTGTTGAAGACAAGCACTCTCAAAATGTAATGTTTCAATATTAGCAATTGTTAAATGAATATTAGATAAGAGATATAAGAATATAAGATGGAACATTAGTAGTACTATTATTGAGCAATAGTTATATTTTATGAGAGAGAGACAACGACGACAAGTTGTGTTTGTCGACAGTCGACGACTGGACGAAGTCGGTGTGTTGACAAACAGATGAATATCAGAGGAAATAGGGAAGAGAGAGAGAAAAGAAGAGCTAGTTAAGCTCGAAAAAAAAAAGAATAAGCTAAAACACTTTCACGTACACAAAAAAGAAAAGAAAGCAATCCCTTGATGGTGATAGTTATGCAACAATACAGTCAGTGGAATACCACATTTCAAAAAGATACATTTAATTGAAGGTCTGATTGATTTACTGATAGTATAATCACAACATATCAACAAAAATCCTATGAACGTGTTTTACTTACGATTAAATTCACCTTGTTCATCATCATTTTTTTGTAATTGGACTGTATTCGTATCAATTATATACACTGAATCTGTTGTTGATTCATTATCTGAGATCGGATAGGTATCTATATATATATATATAAATCGTAGGTATGTACAAGATACATGTAATTTTACCTCCATCAATTACTCTTGTCACTGATGATGTTACTTCCTCGACAAGATCATCTATTGATAAAAAAAAATCATCGGATCGTAATTAATAAAATTTGATTTCTTTACCATGATGATCATTAGTTTGAATGTTTGTTAGATTTTCTTTTCAAACAAGAAAAAAAGAAAATAAAGTTTTTTTTTTTTATAGATTCATATTTACCTTGATTTTCCATTTTCAAATCACTAGATTAGAAATAAACATAATCATGAAGTTCATACTCATTTCTCAAGAAAAGATATCATTCATTACTCTTACTTTTTTTTTTCTTCGTCTTTATGCTTCGCTCACTTACTCGCCGTCGTCTGTTCAATAGAGAGAGAGAGAGAGAGACAGAGTAGGAGCGTGTGTGTGTCTTTTACCTATATATAATCTAGAAAAAAAGAATAAGAAGAAGAACGAATGAAGAGGAAACGAACAACGACTAACACATACACACACAAAATGTGCTTCCTCTCTTTTCAACGTCTTTTGTGTGTATGTGTTGCTGTGCCGAGAATAAGAGAAATGTTTCCATCTCAATGGTGCTCATACTCTATAAAGAGTGTGGCATTACGCAGAGAGAAAGAAAAGAAGAACAGCACAAAACAGAGAAAAAAAAGTAGCAACGACAGCGGTGAAGCCAAGTATATATATATATATATAAATGCTTCATCTTAATATATGTTCAATCAAATACACGTCTACGCTATTGTTATAAAAGCGACGACAAAAAAAAAATCAATTAGTATAAGCTATATTATTCTCTTGAACACACGTGTCGTCTATACTAACTAATGATTAAAACGTCTGTCTTTTGTCGATCAAAAGATTTAAATTCATCGATAAATGATGATTATAAACATAAATTAAAGATCGTTAATGATAGATTGAAGTATGTCGAAAAAAAATAAAAGTGCATTGATCAAACGCATATTTTCTATGAAAGTTATAAGTAATCTTTCATATTATGATTTGTAACACGACTAAATATGTCATTCAAATTAATGTGTGACAAGATCAAAATCATATGTGTCTATAATCTAAAACAAAACAAAAAAAATTTTTTTTATCGATCTTTCATATATAATCAAAAATCGGATTTATTTATTTGGTTATTTTTTTTTTTTTAAATATTATTCTTTTAATTTAAATACACGACATGAACCTTGTATATAAGCACAAAGTAAATGTCGTTTATCTTTTGTTATAACCATATCCATTATTTCACAACCTTGACCACCACCACTTTTCCATTCTTTTAATGGTTCACCATTTCGTATATCTAATAAACGAATATGACCATCAAGACATGCAGCATATAATAGATAACCATCATTCAAAAGACATTTAACAATACCACTTTGTAAATTAAGTGTTGTACGTAAATGTTTTGTATTTATATCCCATATATAAATATAACCTGAAAGTGTACCACAAATAAGTAAATGACCAGAACCAAATGCAACACTTTCAATTGTTGTTGCTGTTGATTCATCATCATCATCATCATCTTCTTCTTCTTCTTGTTCTGTTGAAGGTTTATTTGATAATGATGCTTGAAAACAAGGAAATAATGAAAGTAATTTACCATTATTTAAATTAAGTACTCGACAATTACCACCAGCTGAACCACAAGCTACTAATGTTTGTTCATCATTTAAACACATTGAAATACATTTATTATTAATATTCATTGTATTATTATCTTCACCATTATTATCATATTGCCAAATAATAGAACATTGTTTAAGATCCCATAATTTAATTTGACCATTACCATAACCACATACACATTGTTTACCTAAAGAATACAAAACATTGTCTATGAACTTATACAAAATAATATTTGAAGAATAAACAACAAAAAAAAAAAAAATAGGATAATTTGTTATTTTTAAGTCATTCTTGAAAATTAGTAATAATGACTTAAGAGAAAATTCATTGTACAAATAAAAATCCTACAAGAATATATATACTATTAATACTTTCTTGTTTTAAAATATAATTCTGCTATATTGATTTGAAATTAGGTATTTGCATATCTTCTTCACCTAACTTCATTTGTTTGAGCTTTTGACTACTTTTTTTTTAATAAAAGCTACATCTACTATTTTTTATTTTTATATTGATTCTATTATATGATTCATACAAAACAATAATTGTTTGACGTTTTTCATGTTGCTAGGTGTGAATTAAATTTCTACTGACATATGAAAAAAAAAAAAGGCGTCTCTCTTTGTACATCATATACATAATAGAATAATTTCACATAATAGACTAAATTATTATAAAGTATAGCGAGAAAGAAAAACAAAATGAATAGTTGTCAGGATACAGTTTTTGTTTTTGATTACCTATTGACTACCATTATTTCCTGTGAATAATTAAAGAAAACACAAGCTCTAGGCTATTATTCCGTCCATCGGAAAACGATATATTTCTACATTAATTTTCATTATTCTTTTCGATCTATGAAATTAGAATTATAAACTTTAATATAAAGTCTAATGGTCAGATCTAATATGATTTTATATACAAAATGAACTATTTGGTTCTATAGCGTGTTGATTGATCTTCTGTGGATAGAGTTCATCGGGTTTAAGAATTTCTGAATCCGATCGAAACAAAACTTTCAAAGTTACAAGCATCACAATAAACGAAAAATGCCATTTTTTTTCTATACTTTTAACTGTTTACAGGAAAGTCATAGAAAATACGACGACTTTTCATTTTGTACTCTTTAACCCTTTCAGATTCGTGACTCGGCCAATGGATGAAATTTTGTTTGAGACTTCATATTTAATATGGGCAGTGTGTATTGTGAATATTTTCATCGAAACTTTTTAAAAAATCTTCCGAATCGTTTTCGATCCATGCCTATGCCTCCCCCACGGAGATGGCGAAGAAGTTTTTTAGAATAGAGGTGGTGTTCTAAAAACCCATCAAGCTTACTACTTGAGTGACTTCATTAGGATTATAACTCTTGTATAGATACGTGCACCGAAGTCTCTTCTATGTAATAGAGAAAATCGCTTCTCAATATCTCTTTGCATTCGCGAGTTATTCAAAGATTATGAAATTCGAAAAAACTATACTTGATAAAGTACGCTGGTACTTAAAGGGTTAAAATGGCATTATTAAATAAATTAGAGATGAACAGGACCAAGCGGTCTTTTGGTTCCGATCTAGAAAAATTTATTCCAGAATTGATTCATATCACATCTAAAATAATTCTTCAATATTCGGTTTTTTTATTTTTGATGAATGGAACTTTTTTGGGTCATCTTTAATTCATAAAATATTTTATTATAAACTTGAATTCTAACTCCAGTAAAAATTTCAATATATATTCACTGTATGAAAAAAAGAGAGTCCATAATTTTCATGCTCAATAAACGAGGAAAGATTCTCAACTGATCTTACGCTGTTTTCAATGATATTTTGTTTATATATTACAAACATTATTCTAAGAAAAGTCCTAAGAGCACAGTTGTAACTGGTCTACAGAAATTTTCTATACTAAAAACTCACTTCTACTTCCTTCCGTCAGGGTTGAATCAAAAAAATGAATTTTACAATTTTATTAACCAAACATGTCAACAACAAATTTTAAGTTGCAATTATCAAAATAATCGTATTCTTTTAGAGAATTGTCCTCAATTTGTCTAAATACTTTTTTTTAATCGAGATTCATTTTATTTTCTGGACAACACAATTATAAGTGTCATTTGATATAAACTTTCTCATCTAATCTCATAGATGGTTTGCTACAAACTAGTCTTAAGATCAAACATTGATTTTAAAAAAAATATTAGCTTTTTCCGTGAAATCTAAGTAAAAAGCTTCTTAGTGTAGCTTCTTTGGAGCTGAACATATATTCTTAAACCTTAATATTCTAATACATCATATGTAAACTGAAAAATTTCGTGTACACTGTAGTTGTTTTCATTGATAATCAATGACAAGAGTGAGACTTTGTTATTTATGTCTACATTTAAAACAGAAACTTTTTGTTTTTGTTTGAGAGCGCCCTATTTTTCTTTTACACAACATTCTAATTATTATAATCATTGAATTAATTGACAAATCTGTTTTATATTAATCAACTATCTTTCAAAATTATAACTTGATCAATTTTTCCAAAAAAAAACTAGAAAGTCTGACGCCGGTTATTCTTAATTGCTAAGATCTGTAATGGAGAGGGGAGAACTGCACAAACTTGAACTTAAAACTTACACTCATTATTTTTATTCGAAAATATACGTGAGTTTCACAAAAGTCCATTTTTCTAGACTTCATAGATTATGAGAGATAAGTTATTTGAAGAATTAATATCTTCATAAGAAAGTATTTTCTTTTCATTTAAACTTTTAGAATATTTAAATGATTACAAGAACTACGTATGAATGAAATTTTGGATTGAAATTCTATTATTTAATTTTTCTGTATATACTTTGCGCTAGATAGGCAAATAATCATAACCTTCAAAGAAAACGTCATTAATACATGGACAAAATATCATTGAAAACGACATAAATCAGTAGGAGATCTTTCCTCGTAAGTGTTGCTTTTCTTCTAACTCTCAGCTAATTGTCTATTTTCTTCCATTTAATGAGAACGATATTTATAGAAAAAGTTCTGTAACCTGCTGACATACAAAAAAAAAAAAAAAACTTCAGCTCTTATCTTTCTATCTGAGAGCTACTCTTGAATGTATGAAAATACTATTTTAAGATAAAACAAAACAAAAAAAGGATTTGATTTAAAACTCTTTTACCATTTGCAAGTATTTCTAATGTTATTATTTCAGCATCAGTTCCACCATGCATTATTTTATATTCTCCTGATGGAATTTTAAATAACCATAATTGTGAATCATTTGTTCCAACAAATAGAACATGTGCTGATGGATGAAAACGCATTAATTCAATATCATTTCCTGTATGAAATGTCCAAACTTCATTTATTGGTAAATTATCTTGATTATTTGTCCAACAACGTATTTGTCCACGCATATCACATGCACATAAATATTTACCATCAAAACTCCAACATATTTGATGTACACTATCATCAAATAATGGATATTCATATATTAATTCACCAGTATCTAAATGCCAAAGAAGACAACGATCATCTTCACCACCTGTACAAACACGATTTTGTAGTTGTGGATCAATTGATATTGTAAATATTGAATTTTCATTTTTATGATGAGATATTTTTAATAATGCATCATCATTTTCTTCTTCTTCTCCATCGGCCATATTTTCTGCTAAATCAAGATCATCTAATTGATTTTCAACAATATTTTCTGTTGTTGAATCAATATCAATTACTTCAAATGCATCATTAACATCAATATGAATATGATTATCATCATCATCGGAATCTGAATGTGCATGACGTTCAGGTGAATTTTTATGCAACATATTCGTTTATTTATTTTTTTTGTGTTTTCTAGAATGTAAATGAAATTTACTTGATCAATCAACAATATAATGACGATGATGCATATGAAGAAAATTCTATGATTGGTATATTTTTTTCACGAATAGAAAAACATCAAGTGTAGTTTGTTTATAATGCAAAAAAAAATCAATTTTAATTTTTTGAAAGATATGAATTTAAATAAAATTTTTATCGAAAAACAAAAATATATTTCTAATAAATTTATTGGTTAATAAAACGAAAAAAAAAATTTTAAAACGCATTAGCATAATATGCGAGTATGTTTATTCTTATGTCGACATGTGTTCTATGTTTATGATATAAATATTCAAGAGAAACAACAAAACAAAAAAGTTTTCTGTAAGTCAATTGTTGAATTGATATCTTTTACCTGTGTATATTTAAATAAAAGATATTCGAAATATTTTTGCACTTAAGACATTGACATAGTTTTATGATTAAATACATCTAAAATAATAAAAGAAGTTACTCTGTAATAAATTATTATTTATTTATAATATTATGATGCATACTAAAGATATTTCATAAGACAACAATTGTTAGAAGTATTATCCATATGTATTCGTTATCATTCGTTCTTTTTATATATAAATGTTGTTAGCTATGCCTATGTCTTCTTTTCTTTCTATCAGGTATTTGCTTTCTCTTAGTTTCTATTTTCAGTAGTTTTTCTTGCTTTTTTTTTTTATATAACAGTCCATACATATTCTGATTATATTATATTTAGCTATTCGTATATTCTATCTAACATGTGCTATAAACATTTGTTGTTTCTATTTGAAGAAATCTATTCTAACTGTAGCAATAAACTTCTATTATATAGTAATGTACGATGAATCTTACATATATAGTGTTGGGAATCGAATATCGAAAGTTTAAATTCTTTTTTTTTTATCGAAACAAATATCAATTGATTCAAAATGTTTGCAAGATAATTTATTTTTGCATGTTTTCATATAGACAAATTATAAAATATCAGTTTTTTTTATTACAATGTATTATTAAATCTTCTAAAAAAATAATCAATTTTAAAAGATATACGATATGTTGTACAAAAACTTCATTGTTGAATACAATGATACTTTGAATGTTCAAAAAATCACTAGAAAGTATTCAAAGTAGACAAAACATGATTAATTGTTTAAATAAAAAACATCATCAAGATTAATAAGCTTTATTAGATATCGTATTTTGTTGTTCGATACGAAGAGTTTAACTCAAATCTAAATAGTGGTTTGAATAGCAAATGAAGTTCTCTATCGAATGCATTCGATACTGGAATTTCATAGATAAAATTTATGAGAATAACACGATTTTAGAAGTCAAAATAATTTATTTCGATGCATTCTGTTGGATATATTTGAACGATTCTCTCTCATATTTTTGTTCACTTATACTATCTATTCTTTTAGTTAAATATACATATTCCATATGAATGTTGTCTTTCGTCGTTATTATTATTTGTCTTAGTCATGCTATTCTTATTTCTGGTTCACCACCAATAGTCTTATGGCATGGAATGGGTGATAGTTGTTGTAATCCATTAAGTCTTGGTACAATAATTAAATTATTAAAACGTCAATTACCTGGTCCATATATTCTTTCATTACGTATTGGATCAAATATCGTTGAAGATACATCAAATGGATTTTTTATGAATGTTAATCATCAAATTGATTATGTTTGTAAATTATTAAATAGTGATGAAAATCTTTCACAAGGTTATCATGCTATTGGGTAAAAAAATAATCAAAAGAAGAAAAAATTTTTTCTGTTTGTCTTATGAAAGAAAGTGGCGCTTACACCCTTTCCCGCGGTTTTTTTTTCGTACAAATATTTTTTGATTGTGATACAAAATCACCCAACTAGACCTTGGATATTTTTAGTCTTAGCAAAAAAACAATGAATATTTTAGAGAACGGTCATTATATAGGAAAGTACTAGAAAATAGAAAGTATTTAGAGGTTTCTGTAGTCGAAAGTTGATTTTTATGTAAAATGAATATGATATTCAGAATTAGCATGAAAAATTACACTAGACAATCTATTTTTCATTCTAAAATATTTTCCATGAAAATTTGACCCGTAGGTAATCAGAGGGAAAAATCTTATAGATAAAAGGTTGAGGGTGGTACTGATCAGATTTCCATGGAAAATATTTTACAATGAAAAATAGACTGTCTCATGTAATTTTTCATGCTGATTCTGAATATCATACTCATTTCATATAAAAACCAATTTTTGACTACAGAAACCTCTAAATACTCCCTATATAAATGACCGTTCTCTAAAATATTGATTGTTTTTTTGCTAAGACTAAAAATATTCAAGATCTAGTTGGGTGATTTTACATCTTCATACTATCCACAACCAAAAAATATTGAAACAAAAAGAAATCTTGCGAGGGGTGTATCCGCTAGAAAAAGCACCACTTCCTTTTTATGTTTGTTTGAAGTTTTTCTCAAGGTGGACAATTTTTACGTGCTATAGCACAACGTTGTCCTAATCCACCTATGCTAAATTTAATATCAATTGGTGGTCAACATCAAGGTGTTTTTGGTTTTCCTCGTTGTCCAGGTGATAATGAAACAATATGTAATTATATTCGTGATTTATTACGTTTTGGTGCTTATGAATCATTTGTTCAAAATCATCTTGTTCAAGCAGAATATTGGCATGATCGTAGATATATATATATATATAAATCATTTGAAAATTATTCATATTTTTTTTTTTTTTTTGTTAAGCTCATAAAGAAACAACCTATCGTAAAGCAAGTATTTTCTTAGCTGATATTAATCAAGAACAAACATTTAATGAAGCATATAAAACAAATTTATTAAAAATTCGTAATTTAATTCTTGTAAAATTTTTACGTGATACAATGGTGACACCACATGAAAGTGAACATTTTGGTTTTTATGAAGAAAATAATACATCAAAAATAATACCATTACGTGAAAGTTCATTATATTTAAATGATTTATTAGGTTTAAAAATAATGGATGAACAATCACGTATTAAATTTCTTGAATCAGATACGGATCATTTACAATTTACTGATCAATGGTTTATTGACAATATAATTCCATATCTTCAAGATTAAAAAGATCTTCTGTTTTGTTTTTTGAATAAAAATTATTAAATTTCAGATAACATATAACCTGAAAATATTAAATAAGGGTAAGCATGAGGTTGTGAATCAAAGTTTTCATTTAAAAGATTAGAAGCTACAATAGATATTTCATCATTAACTTGACAATATAAAAGACAATCTATTAAACCATTAGATAAACCCGAAACAATAGTTTTATTATGACTTATAACTATTGATTCTAGCCGAACTGTACACATATCTTGACCATTTTTTGTAATATAAAAAGATGCCTTTAAAAATAAAACAAAAAGAAAAAGAATTTCAATTATTAATTCATAAATTAAAAGAAAATTTGTTTATCTAAACCTTAATACTAGAAACTGTAATAGTAAGAAAAAATTGATAAAGACCCTTTGTTGGTACAGTAAATATTCCTGTATGTTTTGAAAAATAATTTAAAACATTTGGAATATTAAACAAATCAGATACTGTCCATGGTCGAAGTATCCTATCGAAATTTTTTGTAATATCAATATGTCGTAATTCAGCATAAAACGAAGTTGGTTGTACAGTAAAACCATCACGACCTAAGAATAAAATCTTCTTGAAATAAAAAATAATAGATTATCAAAAAATTATTTGATAAAATGTTCGTTCATTTTTCATTCTTTGAAAACATTGAGTTCGAATCGAAATTTTGCATATTGTTTTCAACTAATCGATTCAACATTTCTCTAGGACTTCTAATTAAGGAGTCATTTTACATAAATTGACATGATGTTTTTTACCAAAAATAACTTGCAGCAAACTAATCATTAGTATACATACCATTTTATAGAGAAATACAGGTCTCGAAAAGGTTGGTTCATCACTCTTAAGGATACCCTCTCTGTTGGATCATTTGTAGTTCTTCGCGACAGTACAACTGATTGGGCTTAAATTTTTACCACAGCTACATTATCAAAAAAGATAGAGACATACAATTCCAGTCTTACTTTATCCGATCGATCTGAAATTTTTCCTTTGACGTACCTCTGAGACAAAATACATATGATGTCTTCGGAGAATTTCCTCGGAAACTCTTCGAAGACATCTAATCACAAAATCTCAGAACGTGATTTTCAAAAATATCAATCTTTCAATATTTTCTTAATTAAAATTCGAGAGATTGATATTTTTAAAAACACATTCGAGACTTTGTCGCAAATACCTCTAGAAAAAATTTCAGTCCAATCGAACAAAGTAAGATCGAGTTCGTAAGTAAGTTCGACTTTTAAAATTCTTTTTTCTTGAACATGGGATTCTACTTGGATCCGATGGGTTCTAAATATGGATCTCATTATTTTTGATAATCTAGTTGTAATAAAAATGTGAATCCGATCCGTTGTACTCTTGTCGAGAACCAGAAGTAGTTTAAAAGAGAAGGGTATCCTTCCCTTTCCGAATATTACAAATGAAATTTTTTCAATTTTTGATTTTTCATCGCTAATATAAATTTTGTCAAATTAATTTTCGATAACTCTTTATGGAATTGTACACGGTTAGAAAAAATATTATTCCAGGGGGGTAACGCTAGAGTTTCAAATAGAAGACATAATGAATTTTATATCAAATGAAAGCTCGTCAAAAATGGGGTTTATTGATACTAAATAGTGAGGCTTGTAAAAACTTTCTAATGTCAAACTTAAGAAGTTTTCAGAAATTTTATATTTTTTTGGGGTGGAAAATCAAAGTGCCACTGATTCAAAAATGAAGTCAATTTTTTTTCTTGAATATTTTTACATGGTTTGATAGACCTCGTTGAGCTCTACAAAACTGTGCATGTTAAAAAATTTTTGAGGCATCTTTTTGAGATAAAAAGTTCAAAAAACTACTCGGGAAACCTCAAAAACATTTAAAAACTCTTTTTTTTTTCAAATTGAAGAAACACGCTCAATTTTTCAATAAAAGTAGCTTTTTTCGTTGTTTTTACTACCTCAGACGTCTCGAAATATACTCGTTCGATGCAGTGTGAAAAGCTGCGTCTAATGAGTATGCTTCGAAACGCCTGACGAAGTAAAAACAATGAAAAAAGCTACTTTTATTGAAAAAGTAAGTGTTGTTCTTCCACATGAAGAATATGAATTTTTTTCATGTTTTCTAAGATTTTCCAAATAGTTTTTTGAATTTTTTATCGCAAAAAAAGTGTCTTAAAAATTTTTTAATGTATACAGTTTTATAGAGCTCAACGAGCTCTATCGAACCGTGTAAAAATATTCAAGAAAAACATTTTACTCCATTCTTGAATCACTAGTACTTTAATTTTCCATCCTAAAAAAAGTATAAAATTTCTGAAAATTTATTAAGCTCGACATTAAAAGATTTTCATAACCCTCACTATTTAATACCAATAAACCTCATTTTTAACGAGCTTTCATTTGATATAAAATTTATTATGTCTTCTATTTGAAATTATAGCGTTACCCCCCTGGAATAATATTTTTTCCAACCGTGTATATTCAGAGAAGAAGACAATCATAATTCATCTCAAACTATGACAAATAGTTTTTATCTGTTAGACAACAGATTTTATTCTTACCCGGAGGACCAGTTAAACCTTGTGGACCTATAGGACCAGGTAAACCTAAAATAATAAATGAATTTGCTACAAAAAATAAATTCTATTCTTATCATTACCTGTAACTCCTTGTGAACCATGTAGACCTGGAAAACCTTGAAAGACAATCGATAGATTAGTTGATATTTCTAAATAGAAAAAAAAAGAAATGTATTATCATTGATATCAGATTTTTTTTGAATTTATCTTACCACCACATTTCAATACTGTAAAACATTCATGTAAATGTTTGTTTTTATTTATTTTACATAAAACTTGAGAACATATAAGAATTAAAAAAATGAATAATACATTCCATGCCATAGCATCAACAAAAAAAACTTTTTTTTTTTCTTTTTCTATTTGTAATCTTTTCTTTTATCTGTTATAAAACTTAAAGTAAATATATATTCCATTAGATCCGCACGAAACAAATCGGAAATTATCGAGCCAGAAAATTAATTATAATATTGTTTCTAAATGAAATATTCTCTTGCTTTTCTTTTTATTCTGCTTGATTTTTCCCAGTTCGACATGCCGATAAAAAATAGAAAAAAAAAGTAGTTGTTTCGATGTTGCGTAAAGAAAAAAAAAAGGAAGAAGAAGAAGAGAAAAAAATTGTTCGTTCATGAATCGTCATCATTATCGTCTGATTGATTATATCTTTTGATTTCGTCAATTATCTATATACATATATATATAATCTCAATATAATTCAAATAGAATAAACTAACCTGAACCTTCATCATCATCATCATCATTATGTGGAAAAAGACCATTAACATACTTTTCAGTAGGATCTAAACTACTAGATTTATCATTTGCTGCTCTTTGAGATCGAGTTTTTACAACTTGAACTTTTGCATATTCAAGAGCCTTGAAAAATAAATTCGATTTATTTTATTTATATGTATTTTATTATAATAGATTTTACTCGTTCTCTTTTTGATACTTTTTCTGGATCATTTGGTTCACTATGACTTGAATGCCAAGGTTTTCTCGATTGTGTATCTTGTGGTGATTTATTTTGTCTTCCCGATATATCTCCTGTTTGTCTTTCTATATGTGATGAATATTCTTGACGTTTTCTAGCACGTTCTTTCTATATAAAATAAGAAATTAATTTATAAATAAATTTTACATATGTATATATATATACTCGATCAGGAGTAGGTTCATTAATAGATGCATATGGATTATTTTGTGCATCGTGTTTTTGTAAATCTTTATAATCTTTGAGAGTATATTTTTTATATGGAAAATAATAACCTTGAATATCACGTAATGCACGACGTCGTTGATTTTCTAAATAACTATCTAGAGAAAAAAAAATAAGAAATCATATTTTTCGATTTATATAATTCTAAAGTAAATAAACCTGTTTTCATCCATTGTTGTGAATAGAGAATATCATGAACAGTTGGTTTATATTTCTTTTTTAAATAATCATTTCTTTCTTGACGCCAAAGTTCTAACATATCATGTTCATCATCATAAGATGGATCAGGATAATTAGGAGATGAACGTTGTTGTTGTTGTTGTTGTTGTGGTTGTTGTTGTTTTTGTTGTTTTTGTTGTTTAGGTTTTTCATTTTTATTATCATCATCTTTAGATTTTGTTTTTTTATTTTTTATTTTTTTTGTTTTTTCATTTTTTATATCATCTTCATGTTCAGTTTCATAGTCAGTTATACCTTCACGATCATCATGATCAGTATTCATTTCTTTTTTATCTTTATATGTTTTAGATTTTGATTTAGGTTTACGTTTTTCATAATCAAAAAATCCATCATAAGGATAATGAGATGCTGGAAGATAAGGTGGAGTATCAAAACCATCCTCATATAAATGACGATAACGATAATCATATCGACCAGGATGTGGATA